TACTCAGTTGTAGCTGGTCTAATATAATGTAATTCGATCAAGCATAGCTGGGTATTTTACTGGGTCTTCACAGTTTTGTTTAGGCAGATCCCAACAACTAATACTCATTTGATCAAAGAAAAGTGGACACTTGATATGCACAGTGTTCGTGAAAATTATCCCGCTCTCATCAGGAAAAGAAAAGCAAGGGTAAAGATTTAATGTGATTTAAATTAATCCAATAGACAATATATTAGTACCGGCTTGGACTCTGAGAACTATTATTAAGGTATAATGTGCCGTATACATTTTTTTCTTTAAAGGAACTCTCATTCACTCATGCATTAAAAATCAATAAGGAAGAAAGTAGGAAAACCGTCTTCTAATGTAGAAATGAACAGATTGATTTCCCGATTGCACATAGAGGAAAGTAGTTGCTTGTACCTAAAAAAGTGTGAACAGAAACGCCCATATTGCGATGTTCAAATACGTTCCTTCGATGTTAATAAATAATTATAAATATTCGAAGTCCTTTCATAGTAGTTAAGTATAAGAATCCTATTTCAAACTCAATGAATTCTTCAAGCATAATTTCTGACGCACCCATTGAACTATCTATCATAGTTATCATAAGATGATTAAATTCTAATATGAGGCGAAAATTCGCATTATTCGTAGAGATTGTAGTTGCAAGTTGGAGTTATTGGAGTGGGTAGGGTTAATCCCTCCTTTCCTTAATTATGGCTGCTCTATTGAACGGGCTTAATAACAATCACCGGAAGTGATTATCCTTTCTTCTTGGATTAGGCTGCGTTTAGCAAAGTCGTTTCACTTTACGTCGAAATGGGTAAAGAAGAGGCTGTATCCAATGTTCCCTTGGATGGTCGAGTTTTGTGGAATAAATTTGGTGAATATCGAACTCGTCTTAATAATTACAAACATCTGAGTTGGATTATTTTGCTTGTCTCTGCTCTTAATGTGGTTCTCATTGGTGGAAAAAGACGGGCCTTTGGAATTTTTGTTTCAGCACTTCATAATGACTTCACGAATACATCGATGACGGAATTAAATTGGATTGGAGATAGCTATGCTGCTGTCGGGTTCTTTCTTATGCCATTTATGACCACCCTTATTGTCCATGCTGGTAGAGCTTACCGTACTGCTATGGTGGCCGCTGGAGTTTTCATTTTTGTAAGTTGTTTCACCTCTGCAGCTGTGCCTTCACCCGGATATCTCTTCGCTACTCATACTGTTCTTCACGGAATAGGATCCACGCTTATTCTTTGTACAACCGCTTTAATTACTGGCGAATACTTTGATAAAAAGCATCGGTTTCACGTTCTTGCAACTGCGTTTGTATCAGGTGGCCCTTATGGAGTTCTCATTTTTGGACCCCTTTTCTCACTCTGGATTCATAACTATGGTTGGCGTGAAGCCTTCCAAATTTGTGGTACTGTCTTTCTCATGTTTAATCTTCTAGCCGCTGTAATTTTTCAACCAAAACAGAATGAAAGCTATGAAGAGTTTGCCAATAATGAAGAACAGATGGATCTCGAGCCTGTTGAACACACTGCTTCAAGTGGTCGAGGATGGGCATTAATTTCAATAAATCATCTGAAGGAAAATTTGCAAATTATTTTTTGGGCTCTTGATAGATTAATTCACAATTTCGTGATGTACGGATTACTGATGAATATGACCGTTTATGTTACGGAAGCGATGGAAGACAAGATCTTGGATGGTTCAAAGGTTAATCTTTACTTTGGAATTGGTGAGTCACTCATATTCACTGGAGGAGCCTTGATTGGGGATAGAATTCGTGGTTACCTCGCGTTGTTCTACATGATCGGAGCCTTATCAGGAGCTGTTATACTTCTTATAATGCAACGTTTGTACCAAAATGTGAAAGCTGTGCTAGTTCTAGCGGGTTTTCTTGGCGCCGCAGTAGGTACTGGGAACACCTTTCTCTACGCAACTTCAGAAGAAGTTATACAAATTCATGGATCCATTGCTTTTCCAATGACAAAGATGATTGCTGGTATTGGAATGCTTCTCGCACCCCTTCTTTCAGGAACCGTGATTGATACTTTTTCATTCAAAGGTTTCTTTATTTCCATGGCAATTCTTGTCTGCATTCGAGGTGGCCTTTTCATCATTATTTGTGTACTACTATGGAGAAAAAGAATAATTCAAAACAGAAAAAAACTGGAACGGGAAAAGGGTGAAGAGGTGATGAAACTTCAGCCAACAAAAATCCCAACAGCTCCAATTTCAGGAGAGTTTGAAGAAGGACTGGCAAACGGTCGCTAACTTTCTTCAGGCATATTAACTAACTCTTTTCTGCCCTTCATCCGTCTCTTTTTGCTCTGGTGCTAAACCAGCTTGTTCCGAAATATTGTACTAATAATTTATTAGGTACTCTCTTCACAATATTTTCCTTTTGATGTTCGAGTCATTTTTAATCTGCCTTCCTTAAACCTTCATATGCGTTAAAACAAGTCCCGTATATTTCTCTTAACTTACTTATACATTATCAAAGTCTAAAATCTCCTTGAAATAAAAATCTAGAATCTTTTCATATATTTGTTGCTACTCGGTTAACTTATCTTCACGAAGGGAGAAGATCATTTATATTGTCTTAACCATTTTTAATTACTTTCTTCAAGTGTGGAATCTGAATGTATCGAATTCACCCATCCTTATAGCCAAACCGAATTTTATTGTTTGCTAAAGTTTTGGCATTATCAGACGGTTTGGAAAATTCCTTTTGTGGGATGGGTCACACATTTCTTCCCCCTTTTAATATTGCGAATAAACGTTTTTTGACCTCCTTTCATATGGTGACTTTTAAAAATTTAACTGAAATTGCCCTATTTTTATTTTAAAATCTAATAATTTGCTACCTTGTCACCCAATGAGATATAAGACTTTTATGCCTGTCTCTTTTACATCTCTCGATCACTCTTCTGTCCCCCCCCCCTCCTCTCCAAATTTTTCCCTCGTTGATGTTCCTCCCCTCTGTGAAAATCGAAGTCAGCTAAACTGCTAATGATAACTATCAAAATGCCTACCATTGGATACAAATAAATATTTTATATTTTAGACTTCGAAAGTTGTCTCTCTGAGAAGGTTAATAAATGAAATTTTGCTTCCTATTATTTTCAACTTGATTTTTCATTGATTTAGAATTATAGAAAAATTAAAATGGTTTTAAATGATGCAACATATACATTTAACCATCTATTTTAAAATATAAATATGCCAATATATCAAATAATAAGCTCTTGGCTAATCTTATGTAATTCAACCATTTATTGGCAAGTCAAACGCCCTCTAACGGCGGCTTCTAGCGTAAATTGCTCCCAAGATTGGCTAGGTTACGTCCACGGTGGTGAGAACACAGTGGGTCCTCAATACGCGATCGATAGCACGTACGCACTTTAATGAATGTCTAAGTAGTCTTAGTAGTACTGTTAACTCCACAAATTTGTGAGGATGGGCTGTTGCGACCTTACCCTTAATTAATTTGTCTGTATTGTCGTCGTCAAACTACCGCTATTACTTTTAAACAATTACTAACTTGTAATTATTCATAGAATATGCACTTTTAACCATTTGTATTAGGATCACCTCAGACCAAACCAAACCAAAGCTCGTGTTTCATGATAAATGTAAGGAACGCTATGAAATCAGAATTGCCAAATCCGTTTCTCATTTCAACTTAACTTTATCGAAAGTGGCTGCTCAAAATTCAACTAAGGCTCTACTTCCTCGAGATATTGTATGATCCGGTCATCCTATTAATTAACTGTGTCGCCGAAGTATATGAATAGTTCGATTTGCATGCTATATTTCATTGACCAATCCAAAGTATTATATATTCTTTCAGATCTCCGAATAATTCACTAGCGCTTTTCCCTTTTATATCAATTTATTCAAGAAGCAAAGAGAAAAATAGGCCTTTGAAATATTAGAGCTCGAAATAACGAGGAAAGAAAAAATCTTGAACTCGAAATTCAAACGACCTATTTAACTGATGGCTACTTAAGATTCTAATTCGAACTGCCTTGGTTCATAATATGAAACGGTAATGATCAGAGTGTTGATGTTTTTACTTTAAAGATTTAAAAGGTTACATTTTATAAGTAGCTCGCTCAATATGAAAGCATAACTTTTTTACTTCAAATTAATTAATGTGATTAAATTTTAAAGTTTTGCTATAATGTCATCATTCCTGAAGTGTAATTACTAGATTGGGACATTATGAAAGTTTTCCCAACGCATGACCAACTGGGAAGTAAACTGCCGAAATTTTAATCGAATACTACTTAATTAACCCATTTCAAAAATTTCGGTTGCACTAAATGGAATGCTACTGAAATTGAAATCAGTAGGACTTTTTTTAATTTGACACCCTCTCCCTTGTTTAATTAAAATGAGTGGTGAGTAACTGCATTGAAAATTACTGTTCTAAATTGATTATCTGATTTAAATTTAAAAATTTAATTGTAATAACCAGTATTTTATCTATTATTATGGTAGAGGATGTATTGAGGAGAAAAGGGAATTCAGCTACGTGTACGGAGAAAATATTTACCAGTGAATTGATCAAAGGAGGAGCATATGAATATTGCGAGTACTTGATTGGGGGGAATAAACACTTCCTGTGGGGTCCCTGCCATATCAGCATATTCATTGACCATGTGACATTTACACGGTGAGGGAACTGTAACTTTCACCCCGTGGAAAGGTGAAATGCCTTTGCTTCATGGGGTTAATGACAATCTGCATACTTCCACCCCCCCCCCCCCCCTTCCTTCCTCCCAGCCCCCNATGGGGTTAATGACAATCTGCATACTTCCCCCCCCCCCCCCCCACTTCCTTCCTCCCAGCACCCTCCGTGTCCTTTCATTTCCCCAATTTGAAAGTGTCCTTTTTTCTCACAAAAATAACTGCGAATACTTTGTGCTCGATTCAGTCTCTCCCCATACCTTCAATTGACGCATGGGTTAGATCTGGCAGAATCCTGACAGTATTGTGTACTGTCAAATACTACTACCTCAAATTGAAATCATTTAACATGAAAATCTTCTAGTCATTTGATAATAAATGACTGATTCTTTAGCCATAAACAGCAAATTTGAACTTATATAAATATATGGCCTTATGTGAAATAAATTCCATTTTCCATTTTATGAAACAAAATGAACAAGTAAAGCTGCTATTATCTCTTAGAACCGTACATAAACAATCATAGGAAAGAGGCATATGAGTATCATCGGAAAAATCTTTGGTAAGTGAATGTCTCCCGCTCCTATAAAAAAAATCCTTACCTTCCTCTGAGCAACCTTATTTCATTTACTTCGCATTAAAGTGAAATGAGTTCAAACCTTAATTAATTTTTAAGGTAAACAGATGCCAGTTTGCTAATAACATGCCTATTGAAAGATGAACCTTAAGTATTCTAATCACAACCTACAAGCAATTTATAAATTTACAAAGTATTTATTCATTTATTTTTAAGAAATGGCAAGCGTTTTGATAGTCATCATTAGCCCTTTAATTGACTTCGGGCTTCATAGAGGGGAGGAGGAACATCAAAATGTGAGGAATTCGGGAGGGAGAACAGAAGAATGATTCACAGATGTAAAAGGAACGGAGAGACACAAAGGCTCAGAAAGGGTAAGATGAGTACTGCGGAAGGGGTCGAATATGACATACAGTGGGGGTGATGGCAGTTTGAAGTGAGAAGTCAACTGCCGGTTAATAGACTTTTTTGCCGTATTAGTATACGTTGCCCAGGGTGCACCACGAGGAGGTAAGTCTATCCCACACCCCAATGTTTCTAGGATCCAAATAAGGCAAAACTTTTGACAGCATCTTATTCTACTCCCTCAATTGCATTCAGAAGAAGATATCCCGCTTTAAACCAACAATATTTTTACATTCTTACGGGCAATCATAAGAAAAATAAACAAATAAGGTGTTAAAAATACTTTCGGCACTAATGTGTATCAAATCAGCATACCTTTTCTTTTACACTCACTTGACTTCTAACTTGGTTTAAAAATTCAAGCGATTGCTAGGCTTCATCAATATTAATCAAACTTTCCATTCATTTACCTTTTATGTTAAGTTCCAGCTAATTGATCTCAGTAAGAAGCCTTAATCAACTGTGAATAAATAGAGGTCCTGTTTTCCAGACTAAGAATGCAAATTGGCCTTCATTCCCCTTTAAGTGGATATTAAACTAAACTCTCTAGATCCTAATGAAGACGTGCTTATCTGGGGTAAATGGATTAAAGGTAGCCCCTTTAAATCTACTGGAGTTAACGACTGGCATTATACAACATCTCCTTCCAGGAACATGAATTGAGCTAACAGTATATCGAACTATTCAAAGCAGAAATTGAAGAATATTGAAGAAAAGAAAGAGGGGAGAAAGGTGTTGATGTGACATCTGTGTGTCTATAGAGAAAAGATGAAAAGGTATAAGGTAGAAAGTTACTTGATCTGCACTGACTTGCAAATGATTGATAAATGTGCATAAAGTGAACCCACGACATTAATTAAACCCGAGAAACAGTGTGGAGAGAATTATCGTAAACAATTTTTCGCTTAGCTATCATTCCCTATAAATTTAATTTTTTAATAATTAAGCAATTTCTAGACCATTGTGCGCCTACTAACCAGCTTAATATGATTGAAACTGGTGGAGTATTATAAGGCCAAGTATATTGTCCCAAATCAAAAGGAATTAGAGGTGGTAAACTAATCATCGACAGGCTTTTTTTCCTAATTAAAAATCAACTTGTTTAATTCCCAGTGGGCCATCACGCTAACAGATAATAGTGAAGGATGTCCTTTCTGCATAAACATAAATAATCAAAGAGGGGAATAGAAAGTAATCAAAAGTCAAAAGACCATGAAATGAGGCAGTCAACATTTCTTCCTTATTTCTCTTATTAATAGAGCAATCAAGGAGCTAGGAGATAGCTCATTAGTAAACTTGACAACCCCAACCTAGATAATAGAGTTATTTTAGTTAAGTGACAGTATACTTTTATCTCTGTTCAAATCTCTGCACAGATTTATATAATGGTTATATGCACGTGTCGATAGTAAAACATGCTCCTTCACCTTATGAATAATGCAAAATTTATTCAAATTTATTTATCCGTCTAGTGTTCTAATTATCAGCATTGTCAAATGTTTTGTAGATTAGCCATTAATGAGCCAGGATTATATGGGAACTTGTCCAAGTCGAGTTAGAACTTTGTCACTGACAACGGCTTAATTTTTTACCCGGA